GTTCTAGTGATTCCCCCTTAGACATTCATATCCCAGACAGGCATTTTACAACTTTTTCTGCAAGTGACCCTGATTTTGCTGAAATAACCATATTTTAAGTCATCTAAAACCCGCGGACCATATGCAATCTTTGTACCAAGTGCGAACATAAAAAATTACAGCCTATATCGTAATAATACAATTTTCTTTGTCAAAGTCGAAGCAAACCTTTTTGTCACAAGCAATCTCTGCATCAAGTATGAGCTTCCAGTGATTCTCAATTACAAATAAATGGCTTGGACAAAACATTTATTCTTTCTCCACTGACCTTGAATTTGCTGGAATGACCTTGGATCAAGACCATGACATACCCTAGGATCATTGGCAATCTTTGTACCAAGTATGAGCTTCCAGTTAATCCAAAAAGTCATAGCCTGGTCAAACTTGGAGGGACAGACGGGCAGCTAGACAAGCGGACAGACAGACGGACAATATGATTCCTAATCCACCTCCCCCCGGCCCAGACACTTCGTTTGCGGGGGATATAAATTCCTATGTTAAATTTTGAACACCCGTTCTGATTTGAAAAAAAAATTAAATCTTTACTATTTCAGGGAGATATTATAAGTATGTTTTCTCATTCCGGCCAACAGGTTTTTAGAGAATAAATTTTTCATATGACCTTTCCAATTTTTACTACCTGTATTTCTTAATTATCTTCTGTTGGAAGAGAATGTGGTCATTCATTTGATCAACAACGTTTGGTTGATACTGATCCAGTGATTCTTGAAAAGATAAGAATGAGAAAAAATTACAAGTACCAGGTTTACAGCGACAACGTCGATTATGCTTACACCGAGAAAGCCAACATCGAAGTCAGAGAACAAACAAATTGTGAGCAGAAAATCTTACTTAGCCTTTGGCATGAGAATGGGGTACTGATTAAAAATTGAAATTATTTTTGTATAGTCAATTTTTTTTTTTTACGATCGACGTTTTGACGCACCCCCCCCCCCCAAATGATTGAAAACTTCGCCTCTGAAGAGAAGCATTTTATCTATTTCCGGGGGGGGGGATATACGTTTACTGATGAGAGGATGGACAAGTGCACTTAAGCAATGCTTAATGGGCCCTTTTCAGTGCCGTATTACTTTAGAATATATTGCCAAATTGTTCTCTCTTGGTAATAGTTAAACACAAGTGGATGTTTCTAGCTAAAATCACGTAAAAACATCACCTAAATCAGCACGGATTTGAAACAAATGAAGATTTTTAAATGCCTATAGATACCCCAAATCCGGAAAAGTCGTACCGAACCTATTTGAGTTTCGTCTATTTAAATCTAGGGGCATTTAAATCGGACACTTGAACAATCTGATGGTGGATCACTGACGGGCGTGTTTGCCGAATGATACTTCTTGCGCTATTTTACCTGAGAAAAAAAATCGAATGAAGTTGTATAGATGCCTGTATCCATAGTGATCAAACTAAGAAATTTGCACGCTTGCATTTGAAATAATACAATAAGTATTAAAATTAGTTCCTTTAAATTTTAAAATGAAAAAACTCTATTTAGGTGACTTTCAATACCTGTAGCATTGTCTTGCATGAATGTTAAAAATGTTTGACGCATTTATGTATGATGACATTTTAACGACACTAAACTCTCCTAACCCTCCAGTGTTCCTAAAACCAAATACATACAAACTTCTCTATGCGGCACGACTTCGATATAATGATACAAAACGTGCATGGCTTTCTTTTACAGTGAGCACCTTTGAGGAATGTTTACATGGGTAGAACTCACGTGAGTACCGGTATTTTAAATAATTTATTCCACGGGTGGGTTCAACATAGGTCATACAGGTAAATAGCTTTCGCTTGCTATAGGAAAAACATTGAACTTTTCATACATTTTTAATATTTTAAGTACAAGTCTAATCTTGTACAAATTTCCTACTCTCACACAAGTTTTATAAATGTATAATGCGTTTTTTGTCATTCGCACAAGTTTGTACAACGTTAGGCTGACAGTAAACAAAAGCTTTGAAATGAATGACCGTCCTCGATTTACTATAGAAATCACGAATGTCGGCTGACCCCTACCACATTGTATGACTTTGCTCTTTGTATATTCATAAATTTGTTGAATCTTATGGTTTAGATATCAATTAATTGTCTTAGATGAAAAATTATGCTTAATTGATTCTTCATTTTTTCACATTTTACCGGGGCCCTCAAATGCACTCGTTCTTTAATCAACTATCAGTTCTATAAATATGAATGATTGCTTCGGAATATTTGGTTACAATTACATGGCTTTTATATTTATTTATACACGTAAGTTAATGTCAGCTAAGAACTAAATTAAAATCTGCTATAGACAAAACCAATAAATTTTTTAGCTATTTAGGGTTATCTACATATATAGATCTGTTTGTAAGAACCACTTTTTATAAAACAAATTTTCGCCCATGATATATTTGGCACTCTGTTTAATTACCATTTTATTCGGATGTCGATCAACACATTTTTTTTCAAAAACACCGGAGTGCAAAATAAACGAAACTGGCCAATGAAGATGTTTAAAAATCCTGATTCCGCAATCGCATCATCTCGGGCATTTCCGTCAGAGGTAGGAAAAACAACCCCGAATGCACTTTCTACCATTGGCTCAAACATTCACTGAGAGAGGAACGAACGACAACTCTGCATAGGAGATTGCCCCGAATGTTTTAACATTACTGGATGTTAAAATTTTATACAAGATTGAGTTGCTTCCTATTTATTAAGGATAGACGGAGTTGAAAGTCCCTTCTAGTTAATTAGTATATTTTAGGTAATATCTTTACATTCAATAAACTTAAACTCAATACTCAACAGATAAAATATCTTCCCTCATTGAGGGAAGATCTTTTATAGTCATTTATTTCAAACTTTGGGAAAGGGGGGGGGGGTGAGGCTACGTAATACATTCGAAGTTTTTTTTTTTCGTTAGTTGGAAAGGCCTGAGAAGTTGCGACTGACTTATCATGGTCTAAAAACACTTTGACAAACCCAAACCAAACAGTTTTATTCAGGACACGTGTACAGTGAAATGAAAAAAGTATATTCAATCCAGTTAATTTGAGAGAAAAAAATAGTCCGGCATTTTTTCAACCTCGTTCGGTTAATTTATTAATTAATCTTTTTTCCGTGAAGGAGGAAGGCATGGACGAAGGATTAAATTAAAAATATTTCCAGGTATACAAAAGAACCCGTGCATTGACAGTAGTATAAGGAGGTAGGTTCTCGTGCTAATCCCCTGATGAATGGGGGGATTTAATCTGTTATTGTAAGAGGTGTTAATCCGATTAACTCGATCAAGACATCGGGGTCTAAAATGGCGGATCTAAGAGGGGCGGTTTTACCTGTGATCCAAGATGGCGACGAAGAGGTGTTAATTAGCTTAGCTCGATCAACAAGCCGGGGGTCTAAAATGGCGGATCTAAGTGGGCGATTTTACCTGTACTCCAAGATGGCGGCGCCCTGTGATGATTACTGCGCCCTTCGAGCGCAGCGAGACGGCGGATCCAATATGGCGATTAACTGGTAAACAAGCAAGGTGGATCTAAGACTTTGCGCAACGAAAGCGGCCAGATCAAGAAGATCGAACAAGAGGGTTTTGAATAAAATGAGATGTTTTACTAATTTTTATTTGAACGAACAAAGAATAAATTCAATGAATCCGGGACATATATAAATGTAGAATTAGCATGAAAAAAAATAAGGTTTTATAAAAGAATGATTTTAAAGTGAAGGTATAATATGTAGTTGTGTAAAATAATTCGGTCAGTAATCTATTAACTGTTGATATTATGTATTAAAAAGAGTTAAGAAAGCTAATTTCATTTTTTTTTCTTTAAAAGACCATACATCTTACAACATTTTTAATCCGATTTACAAATCAATTAAAAAGTTGGGTACTAAGTGTCGGGACTAATTGGTCGAGTATCTTTGTCCCAAACTAGCAACACCTTTCAAGCTAAGCGAGAAGTGTCACTCCTCTTTATTGACAACTGTCAATTTAGGTCCAGTTTTAAAGTATACATTTTTGACGTATTACTTAATGTCATATAAGCTAGTAAGTCCGTATATTTAAGGTTAATAATTTTTAACTTCAAAACATTTTTTTAAAATGGTGCGTCAAGGTGATATCTATTTCGCAGAGGAAACCATAATCAACTAATTTGTATCTAAAATTCACGACTTAGTTGAACTATGGTGGTGGTGTGTGGAAAACAAACTAGAAAACCATCCATTAGTTGTGGCTAGAAGATCGGCTATCTGGCAGAAAGAAAGCACGCACAGGTAACTTTTTTTTTCTTTTGTACCCTAATTATTTATTTTTAAGAAAATTCTAATATAGAGTAGCTATCTATATCTTAAATTGATCATACAATAGATACAAGTGATTCTGTTTTAGTTTAAATGTATAACGTATAATTAAAAATTTTAAAGTACCTTATGTCATATATTAATTTTTTTTAAAAGTAATCAACAACGATAGAATTTACATAAACAATGACCTTCTTGTTTTTTTTTTTTTTTTTTTAATTCGTTATCAGAGTTCAAATTACCGATGACGATTTGGAAATTAATTTTATTGGAATTCGCCCCGTGGACCACACATTTTACAGACATGTGCAGTCCTTTGGTGATATATCATCACTTCTTGTATGGGCAAGAAGATTTCAACTGTTGAACACTCGGCAAGTTTAAATACGCTTGCGACAGTTGACAACGGAGGAGGAACAAAAGTATGTGGAAATGAAATGAAAATTTTCAATTCATAAGTGTTTTTGTAAATTTTCCTTCTTTTCTTTTCTTTTTCCATTTATTTTTAAAACACATACATTGTAAGGTTGTTTTTTTTTATAACAGCTAATTAAAAAAATAAATAAATATATAAATATATAAAAAGGCTAATTAAAAATAAATTAGAAATGACTTGTTTTTTCTGTATTTTTTTTAACTTTGGTATAAATTTAATTTAGGGAAATGGAAGAGGATAACCAGATGTTAGCCAACGCGCTTGATAATTTCCAAAAGAAAAATCGTTCGGTATGTGTACATTTAAAAGCTATCTCAAACTTTTAAACATTTTTTTTAATTTAATTTTTTTTTATATTGCTTTGTAATTTTAATCCTTATCCTATTCATGTTTTACAGGGGAAATCAACAAAGGTGAAATCAAAAAAGGAGAAGGGGAAGGGTGTAGCGTGTAAACTTTGTGGGTTCCTTTCCCGAAGTAAAAGAGAATTACTGCTTCACAAGCGCCAGCATCGAACAGGTGATGCCGCTACACATCCGTCCACCTCCTCTGTCTGTTCCGTTCCCGACTCGCCCGGACCGTCCACCTCCTCTGGCCGTTATGTTCCGGACGACTCTGGTCCGTCCACCTCCTCCGCCAATATTGCTTCAACCGAAACAAGACCTACATTTAGATGTAGGACATGCGGAGAAATAACGAACAATAGACGGGAATTATACCTTCATCAAAGACTCCGCCATCAACATGGGGAAGGATTTTCAGATCTTCAATTTCCATGGGAAGAAAATGGAGACCCTGCACCATGGGCGGGTGATGAAAATTTAGAAAGAACCTATAAAGCAAATAGAAATTTCATTTTGGGAAAAGGCGAACAAAGTTCAGTCCAAAAATCGGTAAACGTTTCCATTCAAAATGTTACAACTGAAAACTTGATTGAAATTATTCAAAATTCTTCTCATTCCGAGGACCGGGCCTTTAGATTAAATTTATCTTTCGGCTTTATTCTTAGAAACATTGAAACTGGAGATTATAGATATTTTATACCTGACAGAAATGAATCAGTTTTTGATCGCCCGGTCCTCATTAACAACATGTCTGAAATCCAGAAAAAATTACGCCTTAGACTAAATTCATTAAACATATTGGAATATTTATTAAGACAAAGGCCAAACAGTAAATGGCAGGTAGTACAAATTACGAATGTCAAAATTTATTTCTTCCGCACGAAATTTTTATTCAGTTAAAGTTTAGAGATCAAAATATTTATTTTTTAATTTGTATATATTGTTATTTAAGTTGTTACCGATTTTTTAACTGTATGCTTTGTTCGTCTTGGGGGAAGGAGAGCGGTACTCTCTAATGTACCGACAAAGAGACCGCTTTGCTCGTCTCGCAGACATCATACGGCCAGCGACCCGAACTCTACAGCTGGAATAAACAAGTGTCTGGGTAGCGCAATATACAAGTGTCTGGGTAGCGCTAGTATATAAGTCCAGCCGGTTCAGCACCGTTATTCCAGTCCAGAAGCTCAAGAGACAGAGATGCAGAAGATGATGTTGGCGATTTTAGTTTTAACCATTGTACCAATTGTTAGTCCATGCAGTATTGCAAGTGGGACTTTGCACTGTACTAACTTGCAACGTGCAGTTTCAACTTTGCAAAGAGGCATCAGCATTTCCATCATGACCATCGACAATGCAGCAACCACGGGACAGTTGATTGATTTAAGCAGATTCCCCAGACTACAGAAGATCCAGATTCTAAATACAGACTTGACGTGTGATGATTTCAAACTGACGAGGGGAACAACGCTTATGTTAAAAGACAAATTTTGCGAGGTAATTTTTTAAATTCTTTTTTCATCACAGGGGTCAATCTTAATTTTAATATTATTTTGAAATAATTAACTTTCCCCCTTTATGCTTTAAATTCTTGTCTCGTAATTTACATTAATTAGTTTAAAAAATCAGCTCGGTGATATCATTTTGCAAGACTGTTTGTTTGTCATCTAATGTAATGATTAATTTTTTTTATTTAATTGCAGTATTCCGGTACGACAGAAGCTAGCTACCACACAACAAAATCGTTTGCATCTGTCCTTACCGAGTCTGCAGCGGTGGCATTCAGTAAGTGAAACTTTACATATTAAACAAATTCTTTTGTTTTACCATTCTATAAATTGTGAAAAACAATTTACATAATTTTTATCAGATCAATGGAATTCGATAAACAAACTATTTCAATAAAAATATAAATAATTTCAGACAGTCCCTGGATCATTGCTACGGGGATCCTGACAGGAATTGTAGTGATATGTGTTCTATGCGGAACTGTTCTGTTGATTAGAAGACTTTTCCGAAAGAGAAATTCTCTAATTCGTATTGACACAGAATCTGTGCAAGAATTTAATGTTCAGGAGTTTAGCATCATGAGAGAATTTAAATCGGACTGATTTCTTCATTGTAGTACTCTTTGTGATGGTAAAATTACTGTTAGCTGTTTGTGATCGAGGAGAGTCCTTGTCTGCGCCTACTGAACATCAGAGAACCCCGCCGCCGCAGCCAGTCCGCGCAATCCGCCGCTCAACGAGAGTCCGAAGAGTGCCACAGCGATACGGACATTAATCAAATTTGAGTGTGTTTGTGGACTTTTGTAAATATTAGTGCTGTTTCCCTGTAAATTATTTGTTCTTTTATTCATGTTATATTATTATATTTTCCATGTACATACTTAGAGCAGGTTTAAAACGAAACAATGAATAACGAGTAAATGGTTTGTGACAGTATGTAACAACACACAAATAAATTGATAATACGTTTGATTTTTTTTTATTCTTAATTTTCTATTTCCAAGGAGGAAAGACTTGGTTAAAAACACTGGATTATTAAAAGAGATTGTACAAACCAAGCTGAAATCTCAACAGTGTATACAGAAATTTAGATAAATTCCGGTCTAGTGGTCAATAAAGATTAACAATGGGAGTAAAGGAAATAAATGAAATAGTGAAATAAATAAGGCATTCTGTTCAGATTAGCTAAAAACTATAAGGTGTGATAAGATAAAATCCATAAAATCCTTTTTCACTTGTGAATGAAAATGGATTAAGGAAAAAGATGAAAGAATAAAATTAATCCAATTGTAATTTATTGGATTATTTTCACTCATTCAAGTATGGGATTTAAAGACATGACAGGATTATGGTATCAGTTTAGAAAATGGTATTGAATGAAGTGTAAGGTGGTGTAAGAAAATTAATCTAATTAGCTATAATCAAATGCAGATCAAGGATGATTTTACCTATGAATTTACACCCCGTTATATTATATTGTACAATCTTATGGGTGAGAAGGGGTTGTTTGTAATAAACAAGATTAGTAAGCATAGTAATGATTTTCTGTTAAAAAGAGAATGTTCAAAAGAGTTTCATTCAAATTTTTTTGTAAACTGTCGAGATCGTAATGGCCAAAGAAAGTTACAGTCTTTCTCTAAGCAATGAGAGATGTTTGAGAGTTTTTCCAAATGATTACCACACGATAGTTGATATCAGAACCATGGAGGATGACGAATTTTGTAAACAAAAGGGACAGGAACTCTCCTTGTCTAAATGGAGAATTTTGTGCGATCACTTAGAGGATTTGGAAAGCGCAATGACTGAAGTGAAATCTGAAAAAGACGTAAACTTTAAGCTTCATCTCGGTGGAAATGTATATGTGACAATTAACTCTCCTTACATGTGTTTGAATATCAGAGAATTCCAACCAGGAAAGTATTCAAAAAACAAAAAAAACGATGTACCCTACACCAAAAGGCGTCTCCTTAAGATTCAAAGAGTGGACCAAGCTAATGACCAATCTTGAGGAAGTTAACTTTCAACTACCGGTCGAACTGGACTCCGTAGTGCCATGCCACCTTACCCACCAAAACCAGATGGGAATGATCGAATGTTCCGAGTGCAATCCAAATGCTGATGTTTAACAAACTGTAAAGTATACTGTGTATATATATGTCGCAAATTAAATTAAAGAAGTGAGTGTATATTGTTTTTCGCACAAAAATCTTGTAAACTTACTTTCTTAAATGTTTGTATCATGAATAAAACTTATTTAAAACTGTAAATGATTTTTTTATTTACAATTTTTGATAGCATGGATATATAGAAAAGGTCATATGAAACTCATTTTAGCTCATTTTAATGTTGTCTGTGTTCAAGTCAACATGTTTCCTTTCAATAGTTGTACGACTATATCTATATCTGGAACGACAGGGTCGGGGAAGACCACACTTGTCAGGAAAATTATTCACTTTATGAAGTCAATGTTTTTCCCAACTCCACCTGTAAAAGTTTTGTATTGTTATGGTGTTTTTCAAGAGTTCTTCAACGAAATGGAAGAGTTATTTCCCTTTGTCACCTTTCGTCAAGGTCTGCCAATTGACACCGATATTAATGATTTAACTGAGAATAACTCTCATAATATGATTGTCATTGACGATTTGATGAACGAGTTAGTCGCAAACAAAGAAATGGAAAAGCTTTTTACGCAGGGTGCACATCACAAAAAACTTACAATTTTATATTTAAATCAAAACATGTACTGTCAGGGAAAACATTCAAGAACTATAAATCTGAATACCCACTACATGGTGTTGTTAAAAAATCCTAGGGATGTTTCACAAATTCAGTGTTTAGGTAAACAGGTATTTCCAGGAAAATCTTATGCATTAACCGAAGCATATGAAGACTGCATGAAAAATCCATTTGGTTATCTGGTGTTAGATTTATCTCCTCATGCGGAAGAAGCGTACCGTATCCGCACGGGTATATTTCCAGACGAGGACTGTGTTGTATATAAACCTTTGTAAACTGATTAGCCATTCAGTTTTATTTCATACGTTGAAGAATGTACGTCGTTAATTATGAGTAAAACATTAAAATCTGTTTCGACTTATCTAAAATTATTGTTAGATAAGGACACACCCAAGGAGCAGAAATTTGGACTCTTATATACTGCAAATAAGAAACAGATCTTAGCATTAGTGGAGATATTTCATAATCTTTTGTATGGCTCCATTTCACTCACAAACAGAGCTCAGAAATTCTTAAAAAAGAACCACACTGTTCTCCAAAAATTTATAAACCCGAAAAAATCACTACAGACTAAAACACGTGCATTAAAAACTCGTTATAAATTATTTTCTCAACTGCTAGAAGAAGTGAATGGATTAATTTTAAAACTTATAAAATGAAGTACACTCAGAAAATGGTTCTTGTACCTCATGAAAAATATCAATTATTATTACGAAAACTAAACGAAGAAGATTCAAAAGAAGAAGAACAGAAAGAAATTTCCGGTGAACAGTCAAGATCAGCTCTAATCAACGAAACGAAAACCAGTGATGATACAGAAAACGTAAGAGGATCATCTACTAAAACAGAGGATAATTTTTCATTACCGATCACTGCTAAATCAAAGCAAGAAAACTCTGAAAAGCGAATTCCACCCCCTGGTTTACCAGCAAAGATTCCCGTTGTTAAGAAAAAAGTTAAACGACATATGAAAAAGAAAACAAAGTGGATTAAACTTAAACTATAGCAATGCAAACTGAAACAGATTACCTGCATTCAATTTATTACGACAGCGCACATCCTGCAGCTTATGCTGGAGCAGATAAATTATACAGAGAAGTGGAAAAAGAAGGAAAATTTAATATTTCTAGAACTAAAATCAAAAATTGGCTTCAAGAACAAGAGACATTTAGTTTACATAAACAAGCAAGAACTAAGTTTACCAGAAGAAAAGTGGTTGCCACTTACAAAGACTATCAATGGGATGCAGACACTGCCATTTTAGACTCTTATAAATCTTCAAATGACGGTTTTACTTCATTTTTATTAGTGATTGATATCTTTTCTCCTTATGTTTGGACTGTTCCCTTAAAAACTAGAAAAGGTATAGAAATGACAAGTGCGCTTCGAGAAATATTTCAGCAAGGACGAAAACCACACACGTTCCGCACGGATAAAGGAAGTGAATTTGTAAATTCTAATGTAAAACGCTTAATGGATATCAAAAAGATTAAACACTTTGTGACACAAAATTCCGTGAAAGCTTCTTATGCCGAGAGAGCAATAAAAACAATCAAGTCTAAACTGATTCGAATAATGACACATAAACAATCGCATCGCTGGATTAATGAATTAAGTGATATAACTGAAAGTTACAATAATACTTATCATCGATCTATTAAGAAAACACCAGAGAGTGTGACTAATGATGACCGTTTTAATTTCTGGAATTTACAAAAGATGGACAATCAGGTCGGTACCGTCTTTAAGAGATACAAGTTTAAAGTAGGTGACGTAGTACGAATAACGTATTTACGGAATGCGTTTCCAAGAGAATATGATGAACGATGGACTCGAGAATTGTTTACAATAAGTTCAAGATTCGTAAAAGATAATAATTGTTTATACACTTTGAAAGACTATGGCAATGAACCTATTTTGGGCACTTTTTACCAAGAAGAATTACAACGCGCAAGAGTGACAAATGACACTGTGTACAAAATCGAAAAAATATTGCGAAAACGAATGCGGAATAACACAAGAGAAATTTTAGTAAAGTGGTTAGGATGGCCAAATAAATTTAACAGCTGGATCTTACAGAGTCAGTTACGAGATATACAATCATGACCACACAGCATTTTTTATTCTGTTCTTCTAAAGACTGTTTAAATTTTCACCCCGATAATAATTCACACGACTTTGTCATTGAACTACCCAAAACACTTCATTTAGATGGCGATTGGGAATGTGCCCTTATGGATGTTAAGTTTGAAAATCTCAGCACAAAGAGAAATGAAATGATAAATATTATGTCAGACTTGTGTAATAACAGTTATATTAATTTTCGAAAACTTCCCATGTTACGGAGATTTCAACTACTGGACGGAAGTTACGAATTTAAGCAGCCATTTTATATTCCTGTTGCGCGCGATCAAATTCAGAGATTTCGTATATATATTAAGTACGATCACGACAACATCTCGTCATTATCAATCAGTACTTTGTATTGTACACTTCACTTAAGAAAATGTCCTGGAAACCGTTTGTACCCAATGTAGAAGAGTGGAAAAATCATTTTTTACGAGCCAGCCAGATGAAATATATTCCTAAACAAAAGTCTTACGTGATTGGACAGTTTGGTAAAGGTGAATCTGTTTTGCAGCCAAAGATAGAACTCGTAACACCCACTCAACAGGCGGTAGAGAGGGCGAAATCAGACCTGAAAAAACGAGAGCGGGAAGGGGGACCAGTTTTAAAGTTTGAGCCAGATGAACCAAAACCAAAGAAGACAAAGAAAAAACAAGCTAAAAAATTTGTATATACACAATAAATAATAATTAGTTTATATTAAGTTGTCATTTTTCATTTATACGCCAACCGAGAAACATGTTTTTCGCAGAGGGCTCGGAACCAGCTTTCAGTCATAAATTGTCTCTATTTCATAACTTACCTACTGATGCTGGGGTAGAACAGACTGAATGGATTGACGTGCGTCCTGTAGGTAGTACATCTCATGGAGGTGTAATTGAATTCAATATTTCGGGTGCCTCTACAAATTATTTAGATTTACGACGAACTCGACTCTTTTTGAGAGCACGAATTTTACACGAGGATGGCACACCTTTAAAAGACAAGGAAAAAGTAGGATTCGTAAATTTAGCTTTACAGAGTTTGTGGAATCAAGTAGATATTTCAATACAACAACAGGTCATTACACCCACAGTTTCCACAAATTATGCCTATAAATCATACATGGACGTTTTTCTAAAGTATGGAACCTCATCTCAGAAACCACCGTTAGAAGCCCAGTTATTCATTCCCGATTCCGCTGGATTTATGGATGTCTGATGCGTTTGGAGGGGGGAATATGGGATTATTTCAGAGGGCTTTACTCACGGAAAAGAGTTCTTTTGTGGATTTAGAGGGTCCGTTATACATGGATATTTGTCAACAAGATCGTTATCTCATTAACGGCGTGCAGGTGGGGATTAAATTATGGCCGAGCAGAGAGTCGTTTTGTTTGATATCTGCCGTAAGCTCACCAAAATATCGGATTCATATTGAAGATAGCATTTTAAGATGTTGTTACCTGAAAATTAATCCCGGAGTCCTCTTAGGGCATAATGAAGCAATCAAAAAGCAACCAGCACTATATCCTTTTATGAAATCAGATATTAAATGTTTCGGAATTCCAGCTGGTCAGTTTCACCTAAACGTGGATGATGTTTTTCAGGGAGAAATTCCACAACACCTTGTTGTGGGTTTCGTTTCCTCTAAATCTTACAGCGGCAGTTATGGCACGAACCCTTTTAATTTTCAACATTTCAATTGTAACTTTGCTGCTTTTTACGTAGATGGAAAATCTGTTCCATCTGCACCATTCGAGCCTAATTTTACTTCCAACAATTTCATCAGTGAATACCTGAGTTTGTTTGCTGGTAAGAAGTATGAAACAGAAAACCAAGAAATGGTGCTCAGTCGATCGGATTTTTCTAGGGGATATTGTTTTTTTGTGTTCAGTATTAACCCGTCATGCGAAAATGATGATACATTACCACTTTTAAGGAAGGGGCACACCCGTCTTCAGCTCAAATTTGACAAAGCACTCCCAGAATCTGTTATGGTAAATTCCCAGCTTTGATGAGTATTGACGCCAGTCGCAACGTTGACGTAAAATAATGAATTCTTCTCAGTTACAATCACTTTTGCTCAGAGACTATAAAACTGCTAGTCAAGTTAAAGGTATTTTCGCAGCTGATGAATTACCGGTGCATCAAAAATTGAATGGATTTTACATTTTAAATACGGATAAAAGAGGTTTACCCGGACAACATTGGTGTCTGTTTTATTTTGATGAACATTGTTCTGAATTTTTTGACTCTCTCGGACATCCTCCCGAATATTATCAACGCTATTTTAAAGATTACTTAGTATCGAGAGGACTACAATACAGATAAAATGCTATGTCATTACAAACATCACAGTCAGTTATTTGCGGCTTGTATTGTATTTTTTATTGCTATCTTCGCTGTCGTGAAAATTCTTTGCTTGATATTGCTCAGCCATTTGTAAATTCCACCCTCGATAATGATTCGATCGTCTGTAATTTTCTTGAAGAGCATTTTTTCATATCAATAAAAGTGTAAATTTTATACTAAGCTCTTTCATTTCTTTGTTGACTTGCATACGAGATGGACGTGGTATACTCTCTAAGAAACAAACAAATTAGCATTAAAGCTAGGGCAACTATTGTCGTGGTTGGACTGCTCTTATTTACACTGGTTATTGTTTTAACAACAATTTCATCTATTCCGGATACGAATGACAATAAAAGTTTGAACAATACACAAAGTGTTGACTCTAATACGACACTGTGCAGTTTTATCAAGATGTTTCCAGTGACCAGCAATCTTAAAGTAACAGTGTGCGTTTTTAGGAAAGATGTTAGGATTGACATTCGGTACTTCTTCCGTGATGTACCAACTATTCGAGGGTCAGTGGAATGGATTACTTAAACTTGTACCTGTTGTCGAAAAAACTTTACAAACAGTATAAATAAAACAAAGTATCGCTTTTGTAAATAATGATTTATTCGGCAACATGCGTTGTAATGATATGTAAATGTTAATTAAAAATTGAACACTGTTTATTTCAGTCTTTGACATATTTTACAAATAAATTTACAAACACGTTTAAGAGTTTTTGTATCCGAGTTTGATAACAAATCAGAAAATTTAAGTGGATTTGACCTCTGACAAAACTTTTTAGGTAAATATTTATTTCGAAACTTGGACATAGCTTTGCATTCTAAAATGTAGTGATACTCCACAGCGTGAAAGTTCTTTTCACATAATTCACAAAATATTACTCTACTTGATTTCATTTTGAAATGAAGATTGATGTCTTGCTTGCTGTCATGTTGTTTCTTGTGTAGTTTGTATTGAAACCTGTCTTCTGATATGTGTCCACAACTTTTACACACAAATATTTTCATCTTTTCACTTTTACCAGACTTGCGATTTTTGCCATGCATACACCAAGGACTGTTTAATAACTTGTTTATCACATTTAATTCTCTCTGTTCTTCATGCAGTAAAAGTTCCGTTTTGCGAGATTCAACATATCTGTGATTTTCAAATCCATTTATCTTTGACCATTCTATCAGATTATCTCGTTCCTTAAAGTTATTTATAATGTTGTAAAGTTGTAGTTCAATTGTTGATATTTCTGTCTCCGTAATAAAAGCTGGTTGTTTCCTTTAATACAAGAAGAAAATCATAGCTTTTTATAATTAGTTTTATTTTATTTTATAATTAGTTTTATTTTATTTAATTTTATTTTATGTTTTTTTTTTTTTTTTTTGTTTTTTGTTTTTTTTTTTGAAAGCGTTTAAGAAAAATACAAAATTCATAACCTAAAAAAAACAAAAACAGTTTCTTACCAATGTTCCCCGTCTCCACTAGATAGAAAGAATAATTTGTCCTGAATCAGAGGATGATATCGGAGATTATATTCCTCACTCCAATTAATTAATTTTGCCCATTCATTAATTTGTTTCACACTCTGACCTATAATTTCTTCCTCAGCAAAGTAAATGTTAGACTCCATTATTGTTTATCAGTTTCAATTTAAAAAAAAAAAATGAGTGTGAACTTGTCTCTTAAAGTTATAAAATAATGTAGATTCAATCAAGCTGTAACAAGTTTAAAATTATTAAGAAATTAAACCGATGACCGTAACTTTGTTGTTTGAATTACAAAGAGGATTGAGGGTTCTAATGAATGATAATTCTTTTATTTAACTTCATGGCTAACAGTTTATATGAAATCCCTTAATACTATTAATCTCATTGACAAATGATAAAAACACTTACTGGGTAGTAAGGTATTAATCTATCTGAGGACACCATAATCAAAGAAAATCAACAAAAGAAATCATGTTTATTAAATTTAATAAGGTGGTGAATATGTACAACATAATTTATTTATCTACAAATTCATCTCATATTTACAAAAGTTTTAATTCATATACAAATTGATCCAGGTAATATATATACATAGCACTTATTGTTCCATTAGTTCAAGCAAATTTGAGACATTTTGTTCATCGTCCAAATCTCTTTTTTCAGGACACAGCTCAATATCCAACACTTCGGTATCGATCCCGTTGTTTAGCACTTTTCTTTTGCAATAGAAGTAGGAAAAACCACACCTCTCTTGCTCATAGGTAAATATGGTGTTGTTTCGGGCACGGAATCCTTTGTTATATCCAATGGCGGACTTGCGACTTTTTAGCACTTTTCTAAATGTTTGAAGTGGCGCATTCACAAATCGTTTGGTTATTCCCTTACAACTGAATTTTACATTTTGAAATGTTCTGGGACGATACGAATTCATACGCTTTGTTTTCCTGTTGCAGGCTTTCCTCAAAAGTTGGTAAGCTTTCTGCTGTAGCCGCGGGTCTCGAACGCTTGTTTGGCTTACAATATATGTCTTGGAGCAAAGACCAATCATTTCGTCACCAGTATATTCTAATTTGAATAAACCCGGGGTTCTCTTGTCGTGTTTTTTGTGCTTCTGACAGCATTCATGGGGAAACCAGTGCACAAGATCATCTGCCTCTATTTCCGTATCCGTACACTAATTCATTAACCCATGACGGAATTCACCTATGAGTTCTGGTTTAACGATGGACTCCAGGTTACGCCCAGATATGGCCATATAAGCACTATCAGTGTCCATTTCGCAGTAGGCAAAGTCACTTCTCTCCACATACTTGTCAACAAAGTCATAATAAAATTGCAACATCCTTAATTTGGCATATTGTAAAATAAAATAACCAAGTTGGACTGGGAGGTCATAAGAAATTCTACTTTTTGCTTTTTCTATTTCGTAAACATGGTGTCCTAGATCGGTGAGATTAATGAATTTGGAATCATTCACTTCTATGGTGGCTTCTTCAATTCCTTTCACATGTTTTATTTCCCGATGTTTAGACTGATCCATGATAAGTGATCCATAGCTAGAATTACCTCTCAACTTTGATGTATCAGCTAATATTGCCATAGATGGATCCCTATCTCCAAGGCGTCGGTCGTTGGTCACTTCGCGCACAAACTCTCGAAAGCATCTACTGGGGGTATATTCAACCACCTGGTAAATGCGGGTTACATCCATTCCATGGTTGAGATACCATTTCAAGAGTGGTGTAGCTAGAAGAATTTTTCTAGCACGTAAGCCACCTACGAGGAGTCGACGAGGTTTTCACTGAGATTGTTTTCACGGGCATGATTCTGCATGTGAGAACCAATGGCGTTGAAGGGAATGTCTGTAGTGCAAAATATAGGTGCCATCTCCTGAAAATATTCGTATGGAGTTAAACTTTTTTGTATATGGTCCGGCCACTGCTCAGGAATTTTAATGTCCACTTCAACCATTCCAAAGAGGGTCTCATCCAGAACGCCTTGTAAAATCTGATTTTCGGTAACACATCCCTTGAATTTTTTGTAAAACTGTGGCGTTTTGTCAGTAATCATTTTCTGTAAACAGGCACTTTGTTGCTTGAGCAAATTGTACTCGCACTCCCATATTTCGTTTACGGAAAACCCCTCCTGTCTTAAAAAATCGGATGTTTCTTGGGTCTTGTTGAATAGAGATTCTCTTTTTTCATGCCACTTTTTGACTTTGATATTTTTTGTTAAATGACAGTCATGTCCATGAAAATAACATCCGTGGAACTGGAATATGGTATTCGTGTCCGCACAGAATCCATCCACTGGATAGGGTCCCACGCGTTTCTCTTTGCCGGTATTCAAACGATGCTGAATGAAATGCCCCGAGACAGAACTCATGTAATCCAACCAGTAGAATGCAGACATGTATCTATCTCGGACTTCTCCTCGAAATCCATTCTCGGCACGTCGACGAATAAATGGTCCGGTAGGCATGTTCTGGTCTATGAACTGAGAACCTTGCAAATAAAACATTATTCAAATTTGAATGAATACAAAAATTTGTTCAATAAATAAATTCAAAATATTAATTAAATAAAACAAAACTTACCTTTTAACAGACATTGTTTCTGATCAATTTAATAAGAAACATTTGCGAAGTTTTTTGACATAGTGTGTTAAACGTGAAGTTGACTCTAAAACGGGTATGTCTGATAGCATAAAATCCTGTGCGTTTTATTAGAAGCTTTATGAAAAATGTGTTAAAATGCGCCATAGTTAGGTGAAGACATGAAATTCTGATATCGGTCAAAACGATTTCTTAATATAATAAGAAGAAAGGTTTGATAGATATAATCTTATTAAAGTCATAAATTATCTTATAAGTAAATCAGAAAAAGTTTGTTGTAATCTCATTACAGTCATAAGTGAAGAATATAATCCTATCAGCATTAAGAATGAAAGTTGATGACAATTTCTATTGTTAAAAAAAAATATGAATGGCTTAGTATTAACTATTAGGCAATGACAAAGTCAGATTTAATCTTATTAAGAATTTACGACAGTGAGATTGCTTGAATATAATTAACGCAATATATGTGGACAGGTGAAGACACTTTATTCTGACATCGGTCAAAATAATTTCTTGAAATACTTAGAAGAAAGATTAAATAGATATAATCTTATTAAAGTCTTAAATTTTCTCATAAGTAAATCAGAAAAAAGTTTGTTGTAATCTCTTTACAGTCATAAGTGAAGAATATAATCCTATCTGCATTAAGAATGAAAGTTGATGACGACTCCGTCTAGAACTCATTAAAGATTATTATAATCCATTAAGCACTGAAAAGTCAGATTTAATCTTATTAAGAATGAACGACTGTGAGATTGATTCAATTTAATTGGATTATCAAGGTTATATTTGATATTAACGAATGTCTGTTTACGGAAAAATAAATATATTTTCAATGCTCTATATATTTGTTAATAAAAAAAAAAGAACAAAAACATGTGAGTTACTGCGTTTAGTGTAAGATATGGACGTTAAAAACTGAAATCATTATTTATTCATACATAATATCAACAGTTAATAGATTACTGACCGAATTATTTTACACAACTACATATTATACCTTCACTTTAAAATCATTCTTTTATAAAACCTTATTTTTTTTCATGCTAATTCTACATTTATATATGTCCCGGATTCATTGAATTTATTCTTTGTTCGTTCAAATAAAAATTGGTAAAACATCTCATTTTATTCAAAACCCTCTTGTTCGATCTTCTTGATCTGGCCGCTTTCGTTGCGCTAAGTCTTAGATCCACCTTGCTTGTTTACCAGTTAATCGCCATATTGGATCCGCCGTCTCGCTGCGCTCGAAGGGCGCAGTAATCATCACAGGGCGCCGCCATCTTGGAGTACAGGTAAAGCCGCCCACTTAGATCCGCCATTTTAGACCCCCGGCTTGTTGATCGAGCTAAGCTAATTAACACCTCTTCGTCGCCATCTTGGATCACAGGTAAAACCGCCCCTCTTAGATCCGCCATTTTAGACCCCGATGTCTTGATCGAGTTAATCGGATTAACACCTCTTACAATAACAGATTAAATCCCCCCCATTCATCAGGGGATTAGCACGAGAACCTACCTCCTTATACTACTATTGACTTCATTTTAGTACTACATATTGTGATTGAAGTTGAAAATAATCAACAAATAGATTTACAGAATAGAGAGATTATGATTGATATTGTAAATAAAATTAAGAAAATTGAACAATATTTGATACAGGAACTACTTGGTATATATGTACATGAGCAAATGAGTCTCTCTCTCTCTCTCTCTCTCTCTCTCTCTCTCGATCGTATTTTTCAAAACTAATCCAGAAAAGTAATACATGTACGTAAGTTACAAGTCAATTATTTGAAAGACAATACTCAATTCTATACGATAAACGATACAAATAGTTTAATAGTTTATGATACAAAGGCTGTCGATTATGATTCTAATAAATGAAATAAAGTTGTCAAAGTGTATTAATTAAGAATGATAAATTTGTGATATTCAGTAGCTGCACTGAAGTTCACTGGTCTGAAAAAAAAAATGGGATGGATGACCAGAGACTCCGGCCCGTCAATGAATTTTTTTTTTTCCGGAAAGCTACATGTACAGTTCTGCAGTTAGATATTCAAGTGATACTAAAATTTTCCCGGTGATTACCTTTTCCGTCCCAATTGATATTTAAAAAAAATATGTTATATGCATTCTGAAATTTACAGTTCTGGACATACGATATAGGTTTATTGTTATCTACATGTATAACCCGCTACCGATATTTAATCCCATAACAAAATTATGATGTTAACATACTATACTTAAAAAAGATCATTTACGGGTTTTGAATTAATTATAAAAACAAAATTCATTGCTTTAAAATCTTGAGGTATTTTATTAAAACTTAACTATCAACCCTGTAATACAAATAGGCATAGTGCAACACAGAAGTCGGTTATGAAGTTCAAACCTTGGCCACGTGACGGAGTTACCTATCAATGTTTAATCCATTTCATTGTTTACTTTTCAATAAAATAACGAATCATTTTTAAAGTAAGACTGGTCACCCTTATGATTCGGAAGATTCTCTTTAAAAGTTCAAAGTTGGTATAATCACGATAAAAACCATTCAAAAAATATGACTGGAAATATTTGTGTTGAAAACGGATTAATTTACTGTTTCAAAACGTAGAGAAAGCGCAAAGCTTGTGCGTTTAATGGTTAAATTAAAGTAACCGCAGATCGCTAGTCCGTACGCAATGAATACCCAAATTAAAAGTAAAATTACACATGGTTGGGAAATAAATTGTTGGTAACGTTAAAACAATTGAAATATAGAGATAACGAACATTTAAAATTTAAGACTGATTAAATGCTTAGCGTTTTGTACTTAAATCAAATCTAAGATATTAAGATAATTTATTTGAAAGATTCGATTTACTTAGAGAAAATAATATTTTCCCGTAAGTCGTTGTGTTTATAAATTAGATTTAGAACAACAATGTTTGATGACTGCGCACTGGTTTGTATGCACACGATGGACTGCTTTGACCACATGCGATCGAAGGAATGGTTAATGGTTGCGTAATTGTAAACAAACACAAAACCTGGCTAGACGTTTTGGATTAAGGCTACATGTATCATGATCTATTTAAAACGAAGATAAACCAACATAATCTCAAATATTCGATATTAATGATTGTCCATTAATTGTCGTGTTTACAAAATAGACTTAATACGCCGATTGTTATTTTGTTTACGACTGTGGGTCAATGGTTCACACGCTGTGGATCGCTTTAGATCTCCTCGGCCGCGCGTGATCGAGGGATGGGTTACGTAACGGTAAACAGAATAGAATCTGGGGTTCAGGTGAATTAAGAATCACGCAGTTAATGATTGTGAATTATTTGACTCTTAAAAGTTTTTTCGCGTTTATATTGCTTGCTTTCATATTTAAACAAAGAAAAGATACGTGTACTTTTTTCTGTTTCTCTCTCTTTCTCTCTTGGAAGGTTCTTTATTTTAAAACACAATAAAAAGAGAAAGTTGTCACCGAATAATCTGAATAGGAACCAAAGAGCGCGTTTAAAACCTAATTTAAAAAAAAAATTAGGATACAGCGTTGAAAGATATATTATTTATGGCAAGTTTATTTCAGTTATACGCATAAAGAGTTCTTCTTCACTAGCCAGATGAAAACGGGTCCTTGTTTACGGGTCTAGCTTTATTTCCCTACCATACACAAGACTCGAACAAAATAATATTTTCATGAGACAAAGAAGGTATAAAGGAACAACTTTTTATCGACAGCCATATCGAAATATTTTCTCGTTTTTGAGTTATAAAGCAAAAACTTTCAAGGGCCCTAGATCCCTAATTTAAGGGGCCAGCTCCTTTTTAGTGGTGTCAAATAAAAGGTAATTAAATTGTACACAACTTTTATTCTACATGTCTTAATAAAATATTTCTTATTTAAAAGGTACAAAGGAAAACATGTGTCAATTTTTGCTCTTTAATGCGTCCTAATTTTTGACCCCTATCTAGCGGCAGTTTGAACGCAGAAATCAAAAAACAAAAACCAATGTTCACAACTCCATTGCTTCTGTTTCTTATATTCAGTAGTATTTATTTTCCAACTTTTGTAGTCTCAGAATATTTGTCTGGAAATTA